TTAGGGTGTATGAACTTGTGAGCCTATTTGCATGAAGTTTTATAAAACCAATGCCGAAGGGCGTGCTTCTATAAAGAAGATAATAAATGAATGGAAGAAATATGGAATTATTACTGAAAAAAGATCTCCGTATGCTAGTCCAAAGACAGGTGAACTATGATTAGTTGTAGATTATTGAAAGTTGAATTCGCAAACTGTTAACACCTTCGAGCCGGGTAGCGAAAACGCGCTTATCGCGGAGGCCGGCAGTGTCTTCCGCAAGCGTCTCTCCAGGGCCGGGGCTTTTTTGCTACTAAGCCTAAATCCATGAAATTTCCGAAGTATCAACTCTATAGAGTATTTAAACGGCTTATGCTTTATAGGTATTTTTATATGTATACTTTAATTACCTTATTTCTTATTTAAATGCATATTTTACACATTTTATTTTAATTACTCACCATTTTATGACTTTTAACATTATACATCTGAAAACTAAATATATTACTTAAAATTCTCTTTTCGTATGAAAAATTTTAAAACAGGGATCTACACACAGTCCTACGTTACACAGTTGAACTTGTAACAACTCATTTGCCGTTTTGGAGGATTTTTCCGGGAATGAGAACAAACGAAGCATCGTCGTCTCATTTTCTTATCGGTCTCTTCTGAACAAAGTTTTGGAAAATGTCTTTCAGTTAATCTTTCAGAATCAATATCTGAAATATTTTGCATCATTTCTGCTATTTCATGCTCTGTTAAACATTTTCGACGCTTCGGCATTGAAATGGTAAAAACAGAAAGAATTCACGTCTAACAAGATCTAATTATCTTCTAAAAACTGAACTGTAAGCGGAAATACTCAACGCTTTAGCACATATAAAACTTCTACTTACAATAAACAACTACCACGTGCGAATAAAGTGCGATTTAAAGAGACATCATAAATCACGCCATTCGGAAACATTTAGTTCCCCGTTTGTTTATATAATCAAAAACACGTGTATGTGAGTCATGCTTCTCTCATTTCGAGTAGAAGGTCTAATGTACATGTATCTGAAACCATATGGACATACAGTGCCATCTTGTGGCAGAAATTATAGTTTGAAAAACGTTCCAAGGTACTGTCACAAATATGTGACAGTTGGTAGAAAATGCAACAATGCTCTGGCACGCCTGCGTGTCAGCCGGTAGATAAGTGTGTTCGTTGCTGGCATGTATACGTGACAGTCGGCGCGAAAGGGTTAAAGGTAAATTTCCACTCCCTAGGATAGATGAGCTTCATGACTGTCTTAGTGAGTGTAAAATCTTCACTACATTGGATTTAGCTTGTGGATATTTAGCGATTCCTTTAACTGAAGAAGCGGAACTGAAAAACAGCTTTCATCACTCCAGATAATACTGGTCAATTTGAACGTATGATCTTTGGGTTAGCTAATGCTCCTGCAAAATTTCAGACTTATGAATCAAGTGTTAGATCCATTGCTAAAGAAGTATTGTGTTATTTGGACGACAAATTAATTCCGGATAAATCTTGGGAAGAAATGATGGAAAAACTTATAAAGGGTGTGATAGATTGAGGCAATGCTGACCTTGAAACTGACAAAATGCGAATTTGGAAAAGATGATGCAACCTGGAACAAGAAAAGTACTAGCCATGTTAAACTTTCCTAGACCAACCAATAAACATGAAGTTAAACAATTTTTAGGTCTTACAAGTTTCTTTAGAAGGTTTGTACCAAAATATGCAGAGAAAGCTGAGCCGCTAACGAGACTGACAAGGAAGGATGAAACATTTCATTGGAATGAAGATCAGCAAGAAGCATTGCAGTACTTTAAAAGGATCATTTAACTAATGAACCAAGTACTAACTTTGTATAAACTGGAAGCAGAGACTGAAGTGCACACAGACGCGAGCAGCAAAGGACTGGCAGGAATGCTGTTGCAAAAATGTGAAGATGAAAAGTGGCATTTAGTTTATTGTGTAAGTAAAGGAACAACAAAAACAGAAAAGAATATTCAAGCAAATTAGAATTAATGCCACGACTTTGGCAATTTTTAATCGGAATCCAATTTACGGTAATTACAGACTGCCAAGCTTTAGTTTATTTAAACGCAAAGAAAACTTCAAATCCTTAGATAGCAAGGTGGAGTAATCTGATCCAGGAATACAGTCTTGAAAAAAAAGCACAGACAATGTAAAAAAATGAGTCACGTAGATGCATTGAGCCAATTGCCAGTTGATCAGACAGAAGAAACTTTAGACTTTATAATTGAAATCAACTTGGAAGTTTTTTTAATGCTAACAAGAGAGGAACAAATTCTTATGATTCAGCGTTCAGATCCAGAATTCCGCAAATTAATAGACATTTTATAGGAAAAGATAAATGATAGAACGAATGCTAAGAAATATGTAACTGAAAATTACGTCTTGAAGAATAATCGATTGTTTCGTAAAGTAAAAGATCAGGAAAAGGAGAAATTGTTATATGTCATACCTAAGTCGATGAGAAAAGGTATTGTAGTAAAATTTCATGATCTTTTGGGACATTTTCAGCAGATAGAACTGTTGCCAAAATCAAGGAGTCATACTTATTTAAAGGAATAAAACGATATGTTATGCATCGCATTTCGATGTGTTTCGAATGCCTAGTAAATAAAGTGCCGAATGGTAAGAAACAAGGAGTACTGGATCCAATAAGACCTGGTAGAACACCTTTTGCAGTCATACATGTAGATCATTCTAGGAGCATTCATAAAAAGTTCAAGAGGAAATACAGAATTATTTACAATAATTGATAATTTTACAAGATTTACACACTTATATCCTATGAAAAGTACTACAGCCAAGTATATGTTAGGTGCATTAAAGAGTTTTGTAGATGATTTCGGGTTACCAGAAAAAATTATCAGTGATAGAGGAACTTGTTTCACACTGAAGGAATTTCGGGAGTACTCTCAAAATAATGAATCGGTCATACGCTCAGTTCAACCCAACATCCAAGTGTTAATGGAATGGTGGCAAAGCAAATTGAATAATTTTGGCTATGATTAAAACGAGTATGGAAAATCTGAATCATAGGGACAGGGACAAAAAGCTTAAGAAATACGAAAGAAATTTATAGAATATTCATAAATAAGACTACAAATAAAACTCCTTTTGAAATGCTTCATGGTTATTCACTAAAATTCAATGTTGGATTGATGAAGATGATTATAGATGAAGATGCAAGTGAATGGGAGAATCCAGTAATCTTATAGAATGAAGCTAGAGAGAGAATTGTAGATATGAAGATAAAATGAAAGCAAATTCTGACAAGAAGAGAAGCAATTTTTTAACATTCGAACAAGGAGAGATAGTAGTTATGAGAAGAGTACCTAAATCAACTGGAGAATCAACCAAAACACAACAAAAGTATCGAGGACCTTTGGTAGTTACAGAAGTTTTACCAAGTGATACCTAAGTGACTCAATTAGAAGAGAAGGTGAAAGGACGTTTCTTTAGTACGACAGCTTATGTGAGCCAATTAAAGTCATGGCAGTTTAAAGCTGAATCAGAAGAAGACGATGATGATGGCATTAGTGTTGCTGGGGGTAACAATAACAACACGCCGCATATTACTAAAACTAGGACACGGAAAAAGAATAGAAAAGTACGGTGAATCTATATGACAGTTAAATTCTTTCGAACTATGAATTTTTTACAGATGTAATATATATATATTTTTAAATATAAATTCTTAATGTTCCAAGGTCGTAACAAAGTCAGGATGCCCGAATGTAAACGCAATGCATTGATTTGATTTTAAATATGTTTTCTCCGTGTGGCAACGAAAGGATATATTTTCATGGAAGCCGATTTTGAATGGTGATGTTTTTTTGAATTGGGCATATTAATTTTGAATTTACAGGTATATCGTTTGAGTGATAGGTAGGTATTACTAGAATAAAGATTTATTAGCATAAGTGGAGAATAGTTCTTAAAGAAAGTAATTTAAGCAAACACATGTGTACGAGTTTATAGCAGATTAAATGCACACAGAATTTGATAACATTAATTTTATCTAAAGAAACACTTCACAATTCTGGATTTTTCCACAAAGGCACTCATATAGCTTTTCACAGTATCACATAGCACAATCAGTAGTTACACTTCAAACTACTAGGAATGTTAAGCACAACAGAAGGCAAAGCGCATCTAAAAGGTGAAGCTGTTATGAATATCTCAGTACTCTGAAATTGCTCTGAACTAACAACTGAGAAACTGATCCTCTTTCCGGTCTTATATAGTTTTTCCCTGGCAGCCGAGAAATTTCTATTACTTTCTGCGTTTCGAAATTACTGGAATGCATCTGAAAGTTGGATACGGTTACAGCTAATATAGGAATCAGTTGGTTTTTCAACTACAATATCCATTATAGTGATACAGAAATTGTTCCAAAATGCTCGCCAAACATGGCAAGAAAAATGTGCTGAGCTATTTTACTAAATATTAAATATATTTGCCCCTGTATTTTTTTGGCTGAGCAGCGTCTGTTTCAAGCTTTTCATGTTATATTGTACAGAAAAATATAACAATTTAACATATAATTTCACTAAAATTACGTGTCTGCGTGTAAAACTCATAACAATATTCATTTCTTCCTCACCTCCACAACCAGTCAAGGACTTTCTGGCCAACCTCAGCCAGCAGGAGTTTGCAAGTGACATACAGGGAACTTAGTCTCTGGGATAATGTTTTTCTGGTGTATTATATTCTCCATTTCTAAATTTTATAGTGGAAAAAAATGATGGTTGTCCAGAGGTCAGACTGTTGGATATTTGACGTGCGGATCTAAAACTTTGTACTGTAGATGTACTGTAGATTTCCTGTAGATGCTGTTGAGCATCTGAAAACTTTTGGGATAATATAAAAGAATGTTTCTTTATATATATATGTGTGTGTGTGTGTGTGTGTGTGTGTGTGTATATCTGAAGTAATTTTTTCAGTTTTTACTGATTTGTTTTAATGTTTTGCATAGAATGGCTGGGATGCTAATGATATGTTCCGTACAAATGCCGAAAAGTATGGGGTAAAGTCAAGTTATGATAATTCTTTGCAAGAATACACGTAAGTCAGTTGTAGTTTATATTAAAACTCAAATACTGAAACAGTTTTTTAAAGTTTTGTATATTATTAATTTTAGAGTCCATAAAGTATTTTTTCATAATAGTAAGAATTAGTTTATGGATATAATAAGCATTATTTTTTGAGTAATTTCACTTATAATTCTTTAGATCAGAGGCCTCAAACTCAGATTGCATGCAGGCCAAATACACGATCTGAAAACAACTGATGGGCCAAAAGTTTTTTAGTAAAAATCAAATTTTTTTAAATAGATAAATAAATAATATTATAAAATATTTTAAATAACTTAAAAATTTAGTTTATTAAATCTTTTATCAAAACAACAATAATAATTTTGCAAAGGAAAACATTTCAAATTTATATTTATTTTCTGTTTGAAATCTAAAGCTTGGTACCTGTAAGACATTTTTGTTAGTTACTCTTTCAAAGAATGTTTGGCAAGTAGGGCAAAACTTGAGAATAAATAATAACAAGCTAGTTTCTTTCTGTTATTAAATTTTTCTTCAATGTTTAGTTGAAAATGCATATGTTTATTACATATAATTATATTAAAATGCATATGTTTATTATATTATATAATATGTCAAATGTATATATATTTATTGCAAATGATTATTATAAATGTCTATAATTCTTACTTTAGCTTGACATTTGATGGTGTTTTGGTTTTGATAAAGTTTGTAGTTTTAGACAGAAATGAACGTTTATCATGGACTGCACGTGCTCATCATTCTAGAAATTATATTCATCATGGATTGTAGATGCTCTTCAATCGATCTTTTTTTTTTTTTTTTTTTTCCTTATAAATTTTCAACAGTGGAAAAACTATTCACATATAAATGTATTTCAAAAGTGATTATTCTTACAAGTAAACCTTCTCTTCTTTGATACCTGTTTGCCGGAAATCCATATATTTTCTGAAAGATTATGTCACAAGTAGAAAAAGTGTGATATCTTAGGGGCAGAGGGACAAGTGTTTAGGAGCTATATAACCCACAAATTATCAATAAAGTGTTTGAAACATGACACCAAGAGTTGCTAAAATGCCCATTTCACATATTTATATGAACTACTAATAATATTGTAAGAAGGTGGAGATCTCAATATAAAGGAAGAAACAACTCGTTGAAAAGAATACACATTAGGACGTTGAAAATGTGACTCGTTACTGACTTCAGACAAAATCTATTACAATAGACAATCAATGTGCAATTCATCAAATAAACAGTGAGACGAGAAGAAAGACAGTTCACAATGGACAGTTTACAAATGGCAATGACACAGAGGGCACATTTTACACATTTAGCCTCACACTTTGCACACTCATAATTTGTCAGTGAATCAAAGCAGTGAGGCTTTGGCCCAATCCACATTCCAGGTTCGCCGCTTAAGTATCAGCCCTTGTAAAAAGCATACTTAATCAAGTTCTTGAATCAATGAGTGCTGAACTGATATGGAAAAAAGGACTGCAGGACCAGAAAACTATTGTCATGCCAAATGTGCTCCTGTGTATCGATAATGATTTGTGTTCTTATGTAATGAACAAAAGATTTGTAGTGTCTGAAAAAAAGTGAATATCCAGAGGCTGGATCTTTCTTGTACATCCTTCAGGTACCATTTCTTTTTGTTAAACTTTACCATCAGGTAATTCGGAAGCAGACAATGCATGAATATACAAAAAATAGAGGTGTCATTACAGGAATATGTCCATCTATATACATTTTAATGATACTTTGTGGGTCCTATAGCTCCTAAATACTTGACCTTCTGTCCCTAAGACTTCACAGGTTTTCTACTTGTGACATAAACTTGCAGAAAATACATAGGTTTATGGCAAACCGGTATCAAAGAGAAGTTTTATTTGTTAGTGCAATAATTTGTAATTGAGCTTATTCATTTTTTACAAGTATGAATAGACATTAATAAAATCTGTATCTTCAAATGTTTGAGTAAGATTTATATCCCATTATAAATTAATTAGCTCCATTTATAGATTTTGGGGTGCATTAATTGTGTTTATTTTAAATGGAAATAATGTAAACTGAGACTTCAAATAATTAAAATCGGGAAATCTTCCAACACCATATTTCCAACAAATATAAAATTAGAATGTCTTCGCAGGCCACGTTAAATTGCTTCGAGGGCCACATGCATATTCTTTCTCATATATTTATGAGATGGCCACATGCATATTTCTGGTACTTGTGATGGAGTATGTAGATATGAATAGTTTTTTTTAAAAAAAAAATTTGGAGAGACAAACCACTGCACAAAGAAACAAACAGCATGAAGTTACTTAGATTTTACATTTCTTTTTTATTAATAAATTACAACTTCATTTCTTATGAGAGAGGCTTTTTGTAGTATAATGTTAAAAATGTAGTTTTATGTATTTACGTTGGCAGTACAAGTCAAAGGTGATTGAGGCAAATCAGTATAATGTATAACATGAAGAATGAGATTAAAGGTAGTGATGAGAAAGAGTGGAAGATCAAAGAAGGAGTTTTAGTGACAGGCCATCTTTAGTGACAGGAGTTTTAGTGAATATAAAAAATAGAAAAGTTCTTGCAGAATTTTGTTTTCTAATATTGCAAATAAAAATTCAGGCTCAATTATTTTAATACATTGTATTTTTCTTCCCTCCACCCCCATTTAAAATAACCAGAATAATGCAGTACTGATAATATTTTCTAATTTGAATAAGACTGATTCTCTGTTTGTGCAATGCATTAATCACTTGTTTAATGTTTTAGTTATGACAGCAGAAATATTTTTAATGAACTGCTTTAAAATATAATTGATTAATGATGAATTTTATTGAAAAAACCATCAAGTTATCATGTGTGAATATTTTTTTTATTTCTGAGAATAAAAAGAAATGAGGTATTTAGGGTCTTATTTCAACAAATGCAAAAAATTAGCAGAAATGTGCATATTAAATCTTATTAAATATATGTTTTCTAAATTTCTGAAAAATAATTGGAAGTAAAAAAGACTGAATGGGTTTAAAAATTAAGCTATAATAAATACAGCATGCTCTTGCATCGATTTCAGTAAAAAAAAATTAAATGCATTTCTAGGCTCAATTTGGCTTTTCATATGTCAAGAACAAATTTATTCTGTCTAAATATAATGGTTCAAATTAAGATTACAGAAGGCAATGTAGAACCATCTATTAAAACTTGTAAAATTGAATGAATTTATGTAGTGAGATTTAGAGAATAATGACGTAACTCCTTGGGTGCGGATTTATTTGAAAAAATATTTGCATGTTGGATAATTTTTGGTTGCGATTCATCAATAGCTCCTTCACTGTCAAGAGTATAAAGGTAACAAAATTTATTATTTAGGTATTCCACTATATTTCTAATCTTTCTTATTCTGTCATCTTTATTTTCCTTTTCATTATCCGTAAAATGTAGAAAGCTTGAAATATATATATATATAAACTATCGCGTGGCATAGTGGCATGGAAAAAATTGTAGTACTTATTGCATATCTTTTTGACCAATACATATGCATTTTTGGCTTCTTCATTTGCAACATCAAGATGCATAATGCAATATAAGCTTTCATTTCGTCAGAACTTACAGGAATTTTGTTACACAACCTTCTTTTTCTATCACTTGTCTAGCATATCTATTCTTCTCTTCTACTATAGTGTCCTAAAAATCTTCATTCAAGACTTCTTTCAAAACATCTAAAGGTGTAGGATTACCACCTAGTCTACGCGAGCTCAAAGGATTAATTCCAGATATTTCAGAAAAACTTTATATCGGCTACATTTTCTTCTTCTTCCCAAATCCATTCCTCTGATACTGGTTCACGAGAAGATTCACTATCACTGCTCGATAGACGTCTTGTATGTCTTTGAAACCTTGATATTATATTACAATTGTCATCATTTCAAGTTCAGTATCGTCTTCATCACTTTCACTTTGTATTTCATTTTAATTGTCAATTTCAGGATCACTAAACAATTCTTCTTTAGATTTCTCAAAGTCACTTTCGCTATCACTATCATAAAATATGTTCTTTGTTTTTGACATAATGGGGCAGTGTATCGCAAATAATGTTCACTGAAATACTGTAATTGCTTCTTCTATTATGACTGATACAAGCTACTGACTGATACAAGTTCAATGAAATGAACAGAATTGTGCCTAACCTCAAATAACGTTTTAGACGCGTCATCCTAGGGAAAACAAGTGAATAATGTCTCTCCGACGTTTGATGTACCCAAGAGTTTAATTTTTGGTTTGACCTCTTAGACACGCCATCCGCTCCTAGGGGAAAAAAGTGAATGACGTGTCTCAGACGTCAAATGTACTCAAGAGGTTAAGTTGGTGGTGTAATGCATGATAAAAGCGTTAAAAAATTTTCAGTCTAGCTAGTGGAAAAATTTTTATAATTTAAAAGTAGAGTGTTTAAAAGAATTGCCATTAGATCTAACAGTTATAAGCTATGGAAGATTCTTTTTACATTGTAGTTGAAATTTCCAGGTTTTTGAAGTCCCTTGTCTATAATAAACCATGCTTAGAAAGAGCTTTAATTATTGGATTTTGTTGAAACTTTCCTGCCACTGCAATTATCATCTGTGCAAGCAGTTCACGTTGGCCTGTTTAATTAAATTTTTTCAACAGATTTTTGACATTTGAAAGAAAGGCACTTGCTTAATAATGTGTTGTGAAATTTGTATAAAAAAAAAAAAAAAAAAAGGTTCTTATCATTAAATACAAGGTGTCTGAAATGAAACTATCATGCTACCAGATTAGAACCATCATTAACTTCCAGTTCTTTTGCAAAAACTCAGCTACAGAATGTCACCAAATCATGTGTATAACTTTAAGTACTAATGCTGTATCATACGGCACTGCCAGATTTGATGCCGAAAGTTCAAAAGCAAGGATCATGACATTCAAGAAGCAGAGCGCTCAGTTCGGCCTACTGATGTTGATGATGCCCTTCTGCGAAAACTCTGGAAGATCAATATGCAGCCACTCAAAACCTTGTTGAGTAGTTAGATGTTAGTGCCATGTCCATTAGTCCTATTTTGCATCACATAAACTTGACATACAAGTTTATTAGCTGGCTGAGCTGACTCAAGCATATAAGGACTGATGTGTTCGGGCCTGCACTAATCTGCTCAAATATCAACACAAGGACAAAATTCTGGACCGGATCGTCACTTGTGATGAAAAGTGGGTTTATTTCAACAACACAAGCCGAAAAGGGGGTTGGTCTGTGCCTGGTGAGCCCGTCGACAGCATCGCTAAGTGTAGTTTGACTAATAAAAAGATCATGCTTTGCATCTGGTGAGATAGCCATGGTATTATCAATAAAGAGTGTCAGGAAAAAGATGAAAGCCTCTACAGTAAGGTGTACAGCGGGTTGTTAGTCCGTCTTGACTCTGCTATCAAGGAAAAACATCAAAATGAGTTCCACCGCAAAAAGGTAATGGTCCACCAAGCTAACGCAAGACCACATGTTCCCGCATTCACCAGCTGGACTTTGTATGGACTCGAATGGGATATTTTGCCACACCCACAATATAACCCGGAATTGCTCCTTCACAATTCTACCTTTTTTCAAACCATCATCTTGCTGGTGTTATCTTCCATTTTGCACAGGATGTCCAAAGTGAGGTTAGTCTGTTCTTGCTGGTGTTATCTTCCATTTTGCACAGGATGTCCAAAGTGAGGTTAGTCTGTTTTTGGAGCAGTATAAAACAACAATACTTTACAATATAAAGACTTTCTTTCTAATATTGATTCCATGGCATTTTATTGTGGAATTTATTCGCAGAAGAGAAAATAACTTTAAAGTTAACTCAGTAGAGAATCTAAGAAGTTTTCTGATGAAGAAAAAAGATTAACAGGAAATTTTTGTTGCCTCTCTTTTTCCCCCCCCTCAAAATTTTATGTGTTTATGGGGTGGGTTAGAGATCAAGCTTTAATGGTAACAAAAGAAGGAAAACCTCTTTCTATATAGATTTTTGCTCAAACAATTAATTTTTTGAGTAAGAGCAAACTTTAAATTAAAAAACATTGCTTTGACATGAAATAAGTCGTTTCTTTTGCTAAATGTAGTGGTAAAATTGAGCATAAAATGACAGAAAGACATTGTTTTTCATGTACATCAGTATTGTTACTTAAATTTCAAATTGCCTAGCAGTTTGGAAATCTGATTGAAGTTTTAAATGGAATGATGAGATAAAAATTATATAAAATTTTAAAAGTTGAATAATTAAAAGTTTATTTTGAAATTTAGTTAAGTATTTTACTTAGTTATCTTATTTTAATTTTGTTTCAAATTACTAATCTGTATTCAGTCAAGTTTATTTCACTACATGTTTAAAATTAAATTAATTTTTTGTGTATTTTGTAGAGTTCCATTAACTAAAAAAGATACAGAAGAATATAAATTACAAGAAGCCAAGGCACTCAAAATTGCTCATGAAATTGAAGCAAATGTATCATACCAAACACGAATTCAGTTAGAAAATGGTGATGAAGAAGATAGGTTCAGTGCGGTCGCTAGACCAGATGATGCTGTTGCCTCCAAGTATGAATTTAAAAAAAATTAAAAAATAAAAACTTTTTATTAAATATATTTTAAAATTATTTCCTTATGCTGAGATCAAGAATCACATTCTTGATTTTTATGATTGAAATAATACTGAATGGGCAACAAAAAGTAGCCTATCTGTGGTGATGATATAACAAAATGGACTTCATTTATATCACAGTAGTAACTTACCAGACAAAGGAACAGTCAGGAAATAGAGGAAGAGTCTATAGCCTCCTCCAAAGATCATGGAACTAATATTGAATGCAAGGTACTTTTTCATAGGCCAACCTGTGTATAGGTTTTAGTAATAAGCTTCAGTTAATGGTGAGAAAATTATCTATACTGTGTTTCCTACGACGTACCTCCCCTCCCCTTATATACATCTACAGATATCAGGCAGATAGGCTGTTTGTATGGGAGTTTTTTGTGGTTTAGAGGCATCCTTTTCCATAGGCAAGTTGCACTCAGATTGTTTTGCCCTAATCAATTAATCTGACCATAAATAACATCTAGGTGTACATGTTAAAAGAAATCTAGCTCTAAGATGGATGTCCCTAATTCTAGAAGACAGACCTTTTTTGGAAACATTTTATGTAGGATATGTTTTATATAGGAAAAAATTTACATCTTAAAATTTAAAAATAAAAAATAAATAAAACATAGTATAAAAAGTATTTCTCTGCAAAATAAAGTTTTAAATATATATATAAGAGAAATTTGCCAGTTTGAAATTAACCGAATGCCAATAGTGTTTAGATATATTTGTAAAGTTTTCCGTTTATGTAATATATATTACATCAGACTTTCAAAGGATTTGCATTTTATTTTATTTTCATAACTTTTAGATTGTGTAAGAAAGTTAAAGAATGAAGTGTTTTAAAGAACAAGATAATAAATGCAAAGCAAAAATTAATACTTTGACCATTTATAAGTTATTATGTTTCTCGGAATAAAAAAATTAGACTGTTTATCCCTAGACTGATTTTGGCTTTAGTGAATAACTGTGCATTTTGAGGGAGGCTAGTACAGTGTATATCCATGAAGGATAAAACTTTTATTTAAAGTTTGTTTTTTTAAATGTAGCAAAATGTTCTTTATGCAAGAATTGACTAAAACAATCATTACAGTGGTCTTAAATCTCTCTGTGCCAAAAAATAATCGTATTTTATGATATAATTAATAAATCTAATTTGTTTGGTATAATTGAAAGTTAAATGTAATTATTATTAACTAGTCCCATTTCATCAGTCTAGCTAAAATTCCAGTGGTTGTACTGGTATAATTCCACCACCGTAACTGCTATGTTTCATCCCAATTTTGATGGAGAACAGCCTGGGGGATGGTCCACTCTTCTCCTATCACAAAACCTCTCAGGAGGAATTTCAGCTCACCACTATTTTGAGTGGCTTCATACCACACAGATATCTTACGTTTACAAGCATCCATGCTTTCTCTGGGATTCAAACCCAGGTGCATGGGTATAGCAGCCAGCCTTGCTGACCACTATATGGATCAGGATGGCTATACAAAGAGCCAGATGCATTAATTTAGGAGTCAAACAACAAAAATCAGCATTATATTTTTCAAATTTTCACTGGAATTTTTTGTTGTTTGATTTCTAAATTATTACTTGTTTGGCGTGTTTTTGTATCTTAGTCAGATGCATGTTAACCAAGCTAGAAATCTGTGGTGGTGGGGACTTTGGAAAATTGCCAAAGTGTCAGCAAAATTGGCAAATTTTCATATCAGTGATATATCTTATGGCTTTTCTTTTAAGTGATGGGTTACTTATAAAAAGATGATATGTAGGAAAGAATGAACATCAAAAACAGATCAAGTTTTAAGAGATGAAGAAATTATCTAACATAGGTGAAGGAAACATCAACCTAGATATAGGTAACATTAAAATTAGCAATGATGCCGAGGGTAACAGTGAAACAGGAATGCTGAATGTTCTGGTTTACTTTCATTATGGCAGAGCACACCAAGAATTTTTTTTGTGAAGGATTTTTAAGGCAACTTAGTTTGTATTTATGTTACTTATAGGGAAAAAACTATGAAAACTTTCATGCATCCAGCCAGTTTGTGAGGATTTCAACACATTTCAGACTACTAATGTGTAGCAATTTTATTACTCAGCCACTGACAAAAGTTTTTTAATATTGTTGCTTGCATACAGGTTCATAATAGATTGAATGCACATAGGTCTGATGACAGGTTGATAGAATTTATTTTATCAAGGGAAACCTTATTGGAATGCATATGAGGCCCAGATGTGGTTACAGCTACTATAGTGATCAAGTACAGTTATTCAATTATTATACAGGGACCGGACTGAATGGTTGCCAAGTTTTATAATGTCTGATGATTTCTCTCCAAATTTAGTGATGAAAATTAGTTGCAAAACCATTAGCAGCTTGGCAATATCTCTCCAAATTAGTGAGATAGCCAATATCTCAATATTAAAGTACACTTGCTGCTATTATATTTTTATATTTCCAGAAGAGCGTCCTCTCTCTCTCTCTAGATTTTCATGTTACATTATACAGAAAAATAAAACAATTTCTTATATAATTTCACTAAAATTATTTATCTGTGTACAAAACTCGTAACAATACTGTTGCAATTTTGTACGAGTTTGTGGATTCGGAGTAATTGACAACAACTCTTGATGCAGAATGAAAACACAGTGTATTAGCCAGTATTACTCAGAGCAGCTCCAAAAACATGTTTACAGTCATCGAAAACTATGACCAGCAGGCTGAAACAATCAGCAACATAGCCTTCAGGCTATAACAGTGGAGACAGCTTCATGGCAAAGCATCAGAGTACACCTCCCGATTTGGTTCAGTCGTTCTCGAAACTCTACGTGCTCTCGAGATTCTCCATGTTACAACTCGCAATGTACTCGCCGATACACTCGAGTACAGCTCCCGACTCACTTTAGTCATTCCAGGAGCTCAATGCACTCTAAGATAAAACTCGATGATGCACTAAGAGGAAAAAAAACATTTTCATCTCTAGCGGCGAGACTGTGTATCGGAAATTCTAAAGATATGCTCTTTTTAAATTATATGATATTGCTGTTGAATTGAATTTTATGGTTTAAGTGCGAAGAACATGATATTTAATAAATAAAGTTAACAAGCAAAATGTTAAAAAAAAGGCCCTTTGGGAGTAATATAAAATCTGAATGCCTTCAGATTTTTTTTTCTTTTTCTTCTTTTTTTTTTTTTTTTTTTTTTTTGTAATTTTATTACAATTTAAAACTGGTTTCTAAGGGAGGACTTTATGAGGGAAACTGGCTCGTATACGCATTCCACATGGGGAGAGCCACAAAAATGCAGATGCGGCCAGCTCGTTCGGGGGATTCTTACCTCAGACCAAAGTACCTGCGTTCAGCAACACTACCGCTCAGCCGCTGGTGGACTTATTAGTGGAATTATACTGCATTATTATTGTATTATGCTAGAAAATAACAATGCTATAAGACTGAGGATTTGTTCATGGAATAATACTTTTGTAATCTATTAGTATTTAAAAAAAAAAAAAAAAAAATTGCTGTTCATAGCAGAGCTCTCATTTTTATATTGTAAAAGAGATATTGATTATTATTAGTTTTCTGTTTAATGTGTTGAAATGCTGGTTTGACAAGGACTTCAATTGAAGGAAAACTACACTGATTATTTTTACTTTAGTACTTGCATTGTGAATATAATATTATCTTTTAATTATTTTCACAGAATAAAATCTTTTGAGAAGAAAGGATATTTAAGATAAGCAGTTCTTATATATATAAGAAATTAAAATAAGAGCAATGTAATATTAAAATATATATAAGTAATTGAGTAAAAATTGCAATACAAATTAATCACACATACAGGATAGATTAGTATAATTTTGGTTATATATTTTATATTGAAAAAATATTTTCTTGCATGCTAATTATAGAATAAATTATTTAAAATAAAACATTTTGTTGCATGTGTGATAGCTGAATGCAGCAGCACTTGGCCGTACTGTAATAGTGAATGAATTTTATTTCTTTTCCTGAAAAAAATAATTTTCAAAGAAACAGAAAATAAAAAATGGGAAGAAACATTAAGAAAGAAATATTTTCTTTCTAATTTCTTACTTAAAGAAATTATTTTTCTAATATTAACTGTAAAATAAATTGTGTTGAAAACAGAGTTTTAATGTTAGCATGAAAAAAAGAAACTTAGTTTGCTATTAAATTGTGATGCAAATTAATCATATTATAAATTTAAATGATTAAAATTGTTTATTTCTAAAAGATATGAAGTAAGATTAATTCATTTACTTTTATCTATTTACCGTTGCTTTCATGGTATCCCACATTACTCTTTATTTCTTAGCCCTAAATTCCTGTGTTAACTTTTCCCTTAAAAATGGAATTTTCCTTCACATAACACAGCAGCATATTCTGCTGTGTGTTGGTCATAATACTGTTTTGTGCCATTTTTTTTCCGAACTACAAATGCGGCGTGCGAGTTAGTGAAATAATGGGAGAATATTCCCAGAACTTCACCAGCGCACGCTATAAATTTCATCACTCGTCTGTACTGCGATTGGTCTAAAGCTCCTTGAAGCCTTGTCCCCTTTCAGTAAAGTCAAATGGACCACCTGCCCACCAACTAAGGATCACAGAATGGCTTTCTCCGATAAGTTGTGATGGCTGTCCATACCCTTTTTTTTTTTTTTTTTTTTTATTTTTTTAGTCAATATTGTTCGCTCAAGTTGTAGACGGATCCAGTGATCCTAGAATAGGCATCCAGGACCTCTCGAATACGTGCTGAGTGTACTACCACTACACCATGAAGTCACGGAGAAATAAAGAGCAACTGGGGATCGGGATGCCTTCATCAAATCCTGGTGGTGAAGAATCATTATGTACCAACTTTTTTTTTTAGTTCATGTGCCACTGTAGGGTCATTAGGATTCTTTCCATTATCAGGAAACTGAAGAAATGAGCAGTGCCCATGCTGGGACGTGAACCTGGACCTTGAATATGTGCCAAGTGTGCTACCATTACACCATGAATGCATGCAGAAAGGAGGAAGGAAATACCTTATGAAATAACTAGGAAGTTACTGAGCACATATAGCAAGTAAAATATCGAAACATATAATGTGACTGGAATTCAAGTGCAAAATAATTTTAATGAAAGATTTTTGTATGCTAAATTAATTATTAGTGGTTATTTATTATTTAAATTCAGTGAGATCTTTCTGCTTGATGCTCACTGCAAAGAGATTTTATATTAGGTTAAAATTTAGTTAACTTCAGTTCTCCAGTCTCCCTGGTCTGTCAGAGAAATAAATTGTTACTGCATTTATTAGCTCTAACTCAATTCAGTTTCTATTAAACTTTTTTTAAAAGAAATAGTTTTATATGTTATGTACTGTAGACAAGCATAACGCACAAAACATTGCTGGCCACTACGAATTATTAAAAATGCAGTAATTCCTATAGAAGTTTATCAAGACTAAAATGCGTTCACAGCTCTCTTATGAACAGTATCACAACTTTATTTATTTAATTTGGAAACAATTCAATGAAAATTTAAGCACAAATTACCCAAAGGTTTCAAAATCATAAACGTATGAAAGCTGCATGTAAAAAATTTCTTTAATTTCATACTTGAAAAGTAACTTGTAAGTCTTCTGTACTGTCATATATCATTACATTATTCAGTAGCTCTTTCTGAATTCTTTTTTTGTTCAATTAGTTTCAATAAACAATTTTATATGCTGTGTCATGTTCTGTAATCAAGCTTAATGCACAAAATGTCACTTACCATTACATTTCATATATTATTAACCTATCGTACATTTTGATTTCTAGCCAAGATCATAACTGTAAAAGCAAAGCAAAAAACTCTACTAAATGTAAACGAAACTGAAAGCAGCTGCTGTTGCTGTTCAAAGAAAGAATAATATATGTGTTGCTGTTCCCACAGTAAAAACTAAAATGAATTTGTTGTTGATTGACGTGCGAAAAACATCTGGAAAGCATTAATGTGTCAGCTATTTAAATGCCTTTAAAAGTATTTAAATGTTTATGTGTACTACAAAAATTCTTTATAAAATGCTTAGAATGCACTGCAGTATAAAAATTTTTTACGTTATATTTTTTGGGAATACAAAATGAAATTTCGAATTTTTGAAGAAAATTTGGAAATCTGAATATCTTTTGCACTCTTAAACTCTGGACAAGTCAATTTTCAAATCCTCCTCCCCCCAACAATGGATTTGCCCCTCTGTAAATTGTGGGCCCCACGTTAGGAAACACTGGAATAGAATTATGGACAGATTTTCTATACATATATATGTATTTATGAAATAAGATTTTGTGTAAATTTGTTTCCTTTAATTAAATTTGTTTAATTAAAGGAAACAAATTTTATCTAAAAGTAATAGAATTTGTTAAAATATTAATGGTAGTAGTGCTTGTGTGAATTATATCTTGGATGATTTCAAGAAACCTAAGAACCTAATCTAAAGGAAAAATTGTGTGATTTGAAACTTAATCTCTATTAATTGAGTTTTCGGTTACCTGAGCTGGTTTTGGCCTGAGTTATTTCTAATAATCAAGGTTCCACTGTATGTTTTGTTTGTACTTTGCATATTTCTTCAATATCAAGTTTAATTTCAGTTTTTGTAAGGTCAAAATTATTTATCAGGAGGTTATATGTTTGAATGTTTTAAAACAGAAACAATTTGAAAATCTTCTGGAAATAGTTTGATGATTTTAAAACTCATGTTAGGAACCCAAGACAAAATTATAGCTGAATAACAGATGCTTTCAAAGATTGGTTTTTATCCATAACTTCTGATCACAACAGGAATTTGATTGCTAAATGGTTGAGTTTGCAACTGCGACTGGAATGTAAATCTCTTTGCATATAGAAGGCTTAATGGGGGGATGCTGTTTGGTTAGAAGGCTAATGGTATGTATTTCGATTTGGCGCAGAGAATTTCAGTGATGAATAAGTGTTCAGTTTATCGTCTGATTCTAAACATATTTACATTTAGAGGGAATGTTAGATTTGCATTTTTTTAGTGTCAGTTATTTTTTGTTTTCCTTTCTTTTAGGTATGTTTTACCACAAAAGAGGAGAAATACACCAGGGCTTAAAAGGCAGCCTTCAACCACTGCTTCACCTGTCCACACCACTAGTTCAAAGCCTTATCCAACGTTGCATTTAAATACAAATGTAACTATGTCTACTAGCCAGACAAACAAGCAATATATACATACACTTCCAGCTTCAGAGAAATCACAATCTCCTCCATCATTCCATAGTTCTCCTGGACCAAATAATGCAACCATGCCTATGCCTTCTGTGCCAAAGGATGCTGTTGAAAAGTCTTCGAATGGAGGTTAATATCAAGTAAATTTTTTTTGTGCTTGTTGGCTATTCTGAATCAAGAACTGTGATAGATTCTTAAAATCACAACTGGGCAATAAGTATTTGCTTTTCTGTCACAGTGTTGTACCTTTAGCATAATAAAGTGTATTAATTAGATTAAGTCATTTTTTTCCCGATCTCAACCGTGAAGTGGATAAAGATATGCATAGGGTAATCATGGCTAGTTATTTTCTTACTGATAAATAATTTCGTTTAATATTTTTTAAATTAATTTATTTCAATATAAATTCCGTGATCAATTTTCTTCCTTCTAGTAATGTCAGTAAAACTGCCAGTAAAAGTATACTTATAAGAGTAGACATATTAATCTGTACTTCTTAAATACAGGAGATGTTATTTAATAAGCCAAATAAACCAGTTTTAATTTCATTACAAAATCTTCTAATTGAGGCACACTTTCTGTTAACATTCATCCTACTTAAAGTCGTAAATTTTAAGGTTAGATTACTAAGGCAATGGATTTCATCTTTGTTGTTTAATTTCATCAATAACTAATAAGATGGAAACAATTATCTATTTTTGGAATCTTAATGCTTTGCAGATAACAAATTGATAAAACCAGTTGGCAGTGTATAGTTTTCTAGTATAGAAAATGTATATCTAATCGCAAGAATGAAAACCCTCTGAAATAAATTTAGTTGAAAGTGAAGTTCCGGAAGGAGACATGCTTTAAACTTTTAAGTGGTAGTTCAGAAAAAGGAATTTTTTCCTGCAGTGGTAAGCAGTTACAGTAAAAACCAGTCTGAAAAATTCTGTCATCTGCTTCAAATGCAGTTATGTTTCCCTGCCTGACACTGCATTCCTCTTCTCTGTGAAGTAGGAAGCCTGTTGTGATTAACTGCAAAACTGCAGTGTCTACACCCAAATCACTAAATCATTACTATCATCCAAAGAAGAGAGGGCCAATTTTGTTCCTCAGGGGCTCATGAGCGGCCAAGCCGTAAAGTCGCTAAACACTAGTAGTTCCAACCTGGGTTCGATTCCAAGCTAATTGGCTGGCTGCATGCCCTTTTTTTTCCTTGGGTAACATGCATATGAGCAAGTTTTCCTTGGAAGACCTTCCTTTAAACAAATAGCCCCCATGTACCTCGCCACAAACCAAACTAAACTCTGATGTTGAAAATTCCTGCTGTTACTTCTTTTGTAGTGCTGATTGCTTGCAGTCACTTTGATGGAGGCAAGAAAAACTAGATGTATTTATTTCTTTGCGCTTGGCTAATCGTTTGTTAAGCAATTGAGGACACCGTATATACTCAGGCAAATTACTGTGTGATGGTTTTCTCATCCCAAGGTTAACTTGGGCAGATCAGGGAAAAGGTAATATATATATATATATATATATATATCTGTCAAATGTTTAAATTTTGACGATTCTGTACAAAAAAGTTTAGTGATGCTAGACATGAAAATATTCAAGAATTTATAGTCTTTAGAAATGTTTTTGAAATGAGAATTTTGTAAGAGAATAAATATATCCTAATTTAATGACATTAAAACTTTGTTTTTCTTATTCATCAGCAGCCATTGAAAAAAATTTCCAACGCTGACCAAGAGTAAGAATAAAATTAAGACATTAACTATGAACTTCCTTGAAGAATGACACCATTTAACCAAGGGAAAATTAAAACATTTAACAGCAGCAGACTTTACAATTTCTTTAGAGTTAGTTAATTTCACAAAATCTTTTAAAATAATGAAAAAATAATTTGTGTTTTTTATGTGTATGTAATAAACATATTCCATGAATGAAATATGTGCATGTAAATAGCATATAAAATAACTAAAAATTAAATAAAATGCAAGTTTCATTCCTCTCTATAAAGGTGAGTTTTCACTTTTTTCTTTCCATGTATGTCAGATATTAATTCAGTGGAGGGCATGATTGTCTCTATGTACAAAGAACCCTCGTATAACATGGTACATAAGTTCGTAGAAAATGCCATGCTGTGTGAAACCGTGTTGTATGAGACACAGTATAAAAAGGAGGGTTGCGTTCTGAAAACATACTCTACATAAACAACTTAAGTTATTAAATATATATATGTATGTACAACACAAAACAAAAATATTACATATTTAATGCAACTTTAGTTTAATAAATTTCTTCGTTGTCATTGCTCAGTATAATCAACAGAGAACATTTTTTTGGTAGAAAGAGATCGCTTTCACTTTCAGATTTTCTTTCTTCATTTAAAGTTCTGGCATTTTCTTCCCTCTTAAAAAAATCTGTAATTTTACTTTCCTTACTAGTTCTTACTGGGTCATTTAAAATTTTTCTTTATAGAGCTAGACAGTTTTGCAGCTCCCTTTTGAATTTTCAGCTTATTTCAGTGGGAGGGTCTGCACTTAAGAAAAATAACTAGATTTTCAGCTAAGTGTAGGCCTTCTTTTAATTTTTTTAATGTTAAATTATTAACTTCACAATCTTCATCAGTGGTAGTGTCCTCAAAAGAGGTTAGATTTACAGCATCGCATGCTATTTATATCAAATCTTCATCAATTTCTTCTTCCGCTAATAAATCTTGAACTCCTCAATAGCCCTATTAAAAAAAACCTTCACCTCCAAAATTCATTTAGCAAGTTCTACCAATTTCATTTTCTGACGATTCAAGCAAGTTTTCTATTTCAACTGAAGAGAGCCATATCTTCTTTTAACACGCATTTAATGTTGATGCTTTCAGTTCTTTCAGCGACAAAGATACATTGTCGATTTAATTCTTGATTGAAAATTTCTTCCAAGCTTCCATTACATTATTTGATTTTAAATCGGTTACATCTAAAATCTAATGTAATGCTCTTCTTATGTTTTAAAGGTATAAATAATACCTTTATCCAATGGTTGGAGTAACGAAGTAGAACAGTATTTTGACATTGGGATGATTCAAATCTTGTAGGTGACATTGGATCATTTGATCATCACTTCTTATTTCTTTTTCATTTTTCTTAATAGTCTGGACTGTTTCTTCATTCCAGTTAAAACTTTTTACAATGTGAGATGCCTTTTCTCCTTTTAAAAGACAGTCTAAGATTGATCTGTATCTGTACTTCTAAAGAAATGAATTTCCTCTTAAACATTGTTTTTTCATCTTTATTGGACATGTTTAGGGACTGAAACTTTTAATGTCTTAAAGACGAAAAAGGTATTCTTTAACACACTGTGGCTCGACACAGACTGCCAACCAGCAGCACAAGGCACTTTTGTTTTGAGGCCATGGCGACAAGGATTCGAATGTTGGAAGCCAAACGTGCGGGTTGGGCATTTTAGACGCTTATTGTGACCTCATATTGTTCACCTTCTGCGATAGTGAGGTTTCTTCATTGTTGTCTGGGTACATTTGTTCATATGAATCATCTGAGGATGTTTGTTCGTACTGGTAGCGAATCTTAGAAGACAACTGGCAGAACTTACGAAACAAGGATTCATATATGTTAAATGACTATGCTTTGCACAATATGGAAAAACTTCATGCAGAGTTCGTTAAATTTCTTTGATTGCTTGGGCAATTTTCTTATCATGTTAGAGCGAAACCATGTTGTAGGAGGTTTCTTGCAATTTATGAATCGTGTTATAGCGAAACTGTGTTACAGGATGCCGTGTTGTAGAAGGGCTACCTGTAGTCGAAAGATTTTTTTTTGTTACCATTTAGTACATATGTTCTTCTTATTTAAAACACTGTTATTTTCTTTACTGAACTTAACCCATTCACTACCAACTTATGTTTTACATCATATATATTACACATCACAGTTATTTATATGTGTGTTATACAATATTCCAATTTTTTATAGTACAGTATTTACAAAATCTGATCTTTTTAAGGTTAGATCTCAGAAGTAGTGGAAGAAATGTGCCTCAGCAATTTTTTAATGGGGTATATGCATCTCATTTGTACTGATAAATTGGTAGTCTTTTGTTTTTACCTGTTTTATTAGGGAAAAAAATCTAAGACCTTTATAGAGAGAAACACTACTGTTAGCAATGGGGCAAAATCATAATTTAGATATAAGTTAAATGTTGTCCAATCAAATTTTTAAATGTGTTATGGGATATTTATTACTCATTTGTAAAGAAAGGGTTAATATCTTAATGAATGAAAGATTATGAAAACAGACTATTATACGAATGTACCTAATGAATGTATTTAAATACAGCTGTTTATAAGAAGATATAGAATGCTGCTTTGTTTAAAGGGTTAATTTAGAAATTTTTGCTTGTCTGTGATGATATTAAAATATCTTAAAGAGAATGAAACAGAAGCAAATGAAAATCTAGTACACTTTCAAAGATCTTTTTCTTGCATTAGTAAAAACATTTATGTCTGGGTATCACCCTGGATATGTAGCTGCAGCCTTACAGACAATCAGGCTGAAACTGTACACTCGATGAACATTATCTTCATTGACGAACTCCCCCAATCTCATCTTGAAGCTATATTGCAAGTGATGAATATGCAGTATCCAGTAAAAGTAAATAAGCCAGCCAGTCTCTCACCATAATTCCTAAACAGCAACTGAAGAAACAACTACCAAATTTACATTAATATCTACCATACCCTCAGGGCTCCAGATATCAACATATATAGTTTATATCTTTTTTGATCAGTAGGAACCATATGCAAGTTTTCTTAAAAATTACTATTGGCATATGTTGTTACTTTTGGTAAAATGTTTACAAAAATGTAATATTTTTAGCAGATAAGTGTGGCTATTTTTTATTTTTGAGGCATAACTAAGCTTTAGGGTAATTAAGCGTAAATGTATATTAAACCATACTAAACAGTTAATATAAACTGTTACATCTCTAAATTAATCAAAATTGTTACATAAGAAGCATTTACTGAGGGTTACAACTGTTAGAAAACCTCTCTGCTAGCAAAAGTGGTCAATGAAAGTTAAACAAAATGTTGATAGTAATGCATCTAAACAGCAAAAATCTGTAGCTATTTTATGTGCTCAGTCTTTTTCAGTTATGTAAGTTCCATCAATTTTGGTTCGAAAAGTTGCATGCAGCCCTTAGAGCTGATTAGTGGATCCGATTCCCGAGTTAAATCGGTGAAAAAGTGTATGCATGAAACATTCATTTTGAGAATGAGAATTTATTTGATGACTTCTAATGAATTGTGTGTGCTTATTAAAATGTATTAAAGATACAAATATGAAGCCAAGTGCAAGTAATTCTCGGAGAATTGCAACATCTGAAATTAAACTGAAATGTATCCGTTGTTCTTACATTAAGAGCAACAATGTAATTCATTCATGAATTGTACCTGAACAGAGTCATGTAAACAACAAAAATTATGCCTCTCTGATTGCCATAAAAAAACTTCTGGTTTTTAAAGTTTCAAAGAGTATGAGTTACATTTTGATATTTGTTCTTCGTTTTTTTCATAAAACTCATAATAAATGATATAAAAATTTAAAGTGTAGGATTTTGTAGTTATGTCAAAATAACTCTGTTGAAAATGTCTTAGAAGAGGATCATAAGTTTATTTTTGTTATTAGAAAAGAGTCTGTGAAATGATTATTAAAATTGAATTCTTATTACATAACTTTTCTTTTTGTTATACAACATGAAAAATTCCTTATCTTTCTCAAAGGAATAAATTTTGTTTGAAATGATTTTTGAGAATTGCTTGATGTGCAAAATTACGCTTTACTAAATGCACTCTAGCTGTTAAACCCTTAACTGCGGTGGAAAATGTAAAAGATTCACATCCCAGTGCCACCATTTTTCACAGAGACGTGCATAGTTAAGTGATATATTAGAGGGAAAATAAGTGCAAGTTTGCTGTCTAAAACCTATTTACTTTCACAAAATAAAGAATGAAAGAAAAAATGAAAATACAAAATTTAATGTTTAGAGTAAAAATATAATAAAAAGGATGTAAGTCTAATAAAAAGAATGTTTGTATAATAAAAAAGATCCCCAAAAGTGGAGTTTTGAGCAATTTATTTTTAAATCAGTAAAATATAATATCAGGTTTCAGTGTTATACCTTGTAAAATCAATATACCTAAATGGAAAGTGGGGAGGCGGCATAAGCAAGTTTTTCATATCAAGTTGTACCCAATGTCGAGCATCTTTCAGAGAATAGTCGCAATTCTCTTCATCTGACGTAATATCATATTCTGAGGTGTCCAATCCTGAAGATGACGGAAAGTACTCATCTATTTAAAAAATACGTTTTACTCTAACAGAAACACGACCAATAACTGGACAGTCGTTACTTTCACCGTTTCAGAAACATCCTCCTCTCCAGGTCTTCCCCCCTGCTGTGAAATAGTATCCTCCTTTGCATACTCTGTCAAGGTAGGTCATTGTGGTGTTGCATTCCAAAGCTTTGGGAATAATTTTATTGATAACAGCACAAAGCAAATGATAGCATTTTGGAAAGGTGTATGTATATATATATGTATATATATGCCCAGGGCAGTTAGCGCATTGACTGAGCAAGGTGTGTATATATTTGCCCACGGCAGTTAAGGGGTTAGTAAACCCTTTTGTAATTTTCAATACTTTTAATTCTCTTAAAATCATTACAGGCATTTTTTCAGTGATTGCATTTGAATATATAGCATGGCTTTTATGAAGATTGACATGTATCTGTTAAAGTTTTGAATTAAGTTATTGTATTTTTAAGTTACAATGAATATTAACCCAGTCTTAATACTTTATTTATTTGCATAATTTTTGAAACTCTGATTTCAGAGGGTATGTCTGAAAAGGAAGCTATAAAAACATCTTCCGTTTCCACTACTTTAGAAAATGTGCCTGCGTTGTCTGGACATTCAAAGCCACATGTATTATGTCCTCCTCCTACTCAGACGTTACCCCCAAGAATAGAAAGGCGAAGAGAAACTGAACGAAAGCTTTCAAAGCAAAAAGGTTAGTGATTTTTGTAGCCCTTACCAGTTTATGAATTGTTAGGTAATTTTACTATTTTTTAAGTTATTACAATGATATCAGATTTCATATATAGTTATAAGAATATGAAAGTTGAAATTTTGATTTTTGTTTTGTATCTTTTTTAGTAATTTTTAAGGTATTAAATTTGTATTTTATGAAACATATTAAGAAATTCATATTATACAAAGCCAGCTCACTTTAAATATCCATAATATATTAAATAAGAAGATGACATAAAAGTTCTTAAGATTGAATATTATATTTGATTCAGCCCGTGAACAGTTGATCAGTCTTTATGTAATCTGAATTTGGATCATATTTTAGGTATTTTGCTGCAGTATGAGCTCATTCAAGTCCACTGCACTCCATTCGTTAATTCTAGATAAATTTAATAGTAAGCTTTTAGTTTTCCTTCTCTTTATAAATTTTATATATCATTCACAATAAATGTCAGAATATTTTTTCTTGGAACAAAACTCAGTATTAGGAGTCGTTTGTTATTACTAGGTTCTGTATTTAGTATATTTTACCACGTGGATAAGCATTTAGAGTAATGTTAATATCATGAACTAGTGATGCATCTATCTCTATAACTCTTTAAGTGTTTTGAAAAATGTAGTAGCAGAGAAATAATTCAAACAGATATGATAGATGTAGTATAAATAAGTAATATTTAGTTTTATAGTTTATAGATTCCATTTTTTCACAGTTATGTTTCTGAAATCTCCTGTTACAATTATGCTTCTTAAGTCTTCTGTTACAATTTTACTTCTTAAACTTTCTCTTACGTTTATGCCTTTAAATCATATGTAAGTTATACTTTTTAAATAATATGTAACATATGTGATACCTGACTATTTAGCCATGATGTAAATAGTGCTGTGTTGTATGGAATACATAGCAGTCATTTTCTGAATTATTTTGCAAATATGGGGTTAATCTTCATGTGATGTTTGACTTTGTGATCTGATGCTCTGTATTTATGAGCCATGGCTTGCGATTTTTTTTTTTCTCCTCTTTTCTCTCAGTTCAAAATGCGAACTTGGGAAGATGTCATTTCGCAGAAGCTGCCGTTGAATTTGCAGAAGAGGTTCGATCGATAAACACCAGCCAAAATTAATAATTTCCCTAAAATTGGACAATTTATTTTTAAATTTAACAGGATAATTTTCATGCTGTAGAATAATATTTTGTAATATGTCCTGTCCATCGGCGTCTACAAAATTTAAAATAAAATTAAAAAAAGCTGGAACAAACTAAATTAATAATAATCTGAAATTAAAAATACAAAAATTTCAGTGATAGATTCAAATGCAGAACGATTCTTGACGAATTTAGTATCGTAAAATATAAATTTTATACAAGAAAAACTTTTTATTGTAATTAACTCCAAGATAACTATAAGTCAAGGAATTTTATTTCAATCACAATGCATATATTATACTGAATATGACTAAAAAAACTTTCACTTTCCAAATAAATAACATCTAATGGCATCTAATCATAATTACGTATAACTTTCTATATAACATAGTAAATGTATAAAAATAAATAATTAATAATAATAAATAATTGTTACATTACATAGACACCAAAAAATCGGAGGCAATAAAGCTACAAGTGAAGTTCAGAAAAGGAGTATGTACATTCTGTTCACAATAAAGTCATATAAACAGTAGTAATATGTGCAAGCTTACATTAAACTTCTACTACAGAATTTATATACATTACTGAAAGAGATCATTTTCATTAAATGTTCACAAACACATAAAAGAAAAGGAAGCACACTTTTTCTTGGCATGTGTAGAAAACCTACATGCTCTCCTTCAAAAACAAATTTGCTATACACTTTAATACACTAACACTACCATATATCATATAATGTGTCAAATTTTAATACATAAGGCTAAAAAAAACTAAAGAAAAATTATTTTCTGACAGTGAATAACAACTCAAGTAAATCAGAACCAAGAAATGAAATTTACTAAAAATGGGGAAAGAGTCAAAGCATATAACTAATATTTGATCAAATGTGCACTAATGACCTTTAAATAAAGTTGTTTTGGTGTTAATGCTACGAATTTTTTAAAATTGCAGTTTTTCAGTAATCTGTTTTCCCACATGATAAAATCTGATTTTTAAATATTCAAATAAGATAGCTTTCATTAAAGTTAATCTATGGTTTTCTAATGGAGAAAAATTTAAAGTGTGTGGATTTAACGAGGTGAAAAGGGATTCAGATTCATGGAGGGTTGTAAAAATTAGTCGATGCATAATATGACGTTTCACTAAATCTCCTGCAGCTTGCGCTACTCTGAAATTTCTTTCCCCATTTTTACAAAGTTTTACAACGTTGGCAGCCGGAGTGATTAATCCACCCATATTTTTCCTTTGTATGAAAGAGCCGTTTTCGAAGTGTAAGTCCCTTCTTAAAGCTGATAAGCAATATGCACAATTATATTTTTTTTAATAATTTCCTCACTACGAATCCAGAAATGTATTCCACTATATCTGAAATGTATTCCCTTACTTTTTGAGGATACTCATCCGAATATAAGTGGATTTCTAATTCATTTCTGTTGTCTGAAATACCATCGTCATTATCACTATCCTGATGAAAGTAATTCAGTTGAGACACATATTTGTTCGTGGCAGATGTAATATTTAAAATATGTGTCTCATCCAAAATAATACAATTAGCATTATCAGATGTGATGATTTCATGATGGCATAACAGTCTTATGTATGCAGCTTTAAACTGCTTAACAGTTGGATTGTTGTTATGTCCACCTTTCATTCTAATTGCACTAAAAAACATTTCGAGATGGTCTTGCGAAACCTTGTATGTTAAAAGGAACTTCATTATAGGATTTGGCCCCTGACACAATTCAGTGTACAAATGTGTCGAACGCTTTTAACAGATGTTAGAAAGCCCCCAAATCCCATTTTCCTATTGCTTACAAGGATATGGTTCCCATTAGCCGATATTCTAAGGCGTCTTATGTATGCAGCTGCATGTTCTAAAAAGTCAAAAATTATATGATGATTGTTTGCATTTAGTGGTCATTTGAACCCTTTGCTTAATATATTTTTGGAATTAAGGATATCAAATAAATTGTTGAATATCGTTAAAAAGCGAACTGTGGCAGCAGCACCCTGAAATTCCTTAAGTTTAAGATCATCACATAGGTAAGTTAAGGAATTGGCAACACTTAGGCTGAAAACTTGAGAGGCATTTTTTCTCGTTTTGCCACTCAATGTGTCTTTCTGTCTTCTGCGCAATTTATTGGCAGCATGCAGCCCACATTTTTCTTGATATTCCACCAAGTCTATTACATACTGCCAATTAATCATTTCACCATTCTCATCAAAAATAGAACCTTTACTGGCTAAAGTGTTTCTTATTAATTTGATCATATGTGAAGCATCCAAGAAAATGTATATATCTTTTTTTGTCACCGGATGTGGAAAACTATTTTTTAAATGCTCAGCGTTAATATTTGCGCCAAGATTATTTACTGTGCTCACATTGGCACTCAAACCATCAAAAGTTAGAGAGACAATGTCTATTCCAATACAGTGTAATCAGCCTAAGGCATCTTTTATTAAATTTGCTCTTTCATTGGAATTTAAACCATTAATGAGAAAATATGCAATTGGAATTTTCCAGTTTTGGTTCAAAGCATTGACCATAAATACCAAAGTCTCCTTTGCAACAGGCATTTCATCGTCGTCAACGTTACTTCCCAAATCTACATATCCTAAATATTTACTGCCATCCCACTCAACATGAGATCTTATGGCCATTTCATCCATTAATAAGCCACAGATGAGCTTCTTATTTTCTTTTTTTGCTTCTTCAACTCTAGCAGAAAGTGCGAGAAAAGCCTCGGATGTAAATCCAGGCGATCCATCGACCCCCTGGTACCACTTTCTTAAAGTGGATGGATGAGGCAAGCTGCTGTTAAAGACTTTCCTGACATAATTATAAGCTTTCGATGAATAAAAGTTTAAAGTTAAGGCAAATGCCCGCAACTGTGGAGGATAAGTCTCGTTTGTCTTTCCCTTTTCTATCCGCCTAAGAAGTTCAACAGCAGAGCCAGGAAGAGAAAGCTAGGAGGAAAAAAAAAAAATATGTATAAACATACTTATTCACTTGCAAATTCTTATTTTTATTCATGAAGAAGTCACACGCATACATATTTGCAAATAGAGCAAACGACTTCTGCATATTTTATGTATAGATATGCCAGCTGCTAAAGAGAATTTTGAATTTAGAAAAATTTTGAGAAAATTAGGACGATTGTTATTTTAAAAGGTATTAGCACAGATTTTTTTAAAAAGTAAAAATTTTATCTTAACAAAAACTAACATTTTTTTTTAAGTAACAGTGAAAAAGTACGTAAAATAAATTTAGGGTATAATTATGTGTACTTACCTCTAATACCTTAGAAGCTGAATCGGTAATTAACGACTTCTGTTTCATTTCATTCAAAACGTCTTTCAAAGATAAAATATTTCTTTTTAGTCTCTTGTTCTTTTTTTGCAAATTCCTGATTTTTTTCCTGTATGCTTCGGCAACATGATTTGCGACACTAAGGACTTTTCTTGCCTTTGTTGGCAAGGCTACATCTTCTTCGGTGAAATCACCCAAAAAGCATTTTCGTTTTGTTCCTTTCACAGCATTATCAGAAGTATCTAAACAAAGCAGATATGAGATGCTTTATAAACAGACTAAAAAAAATTTATAATTGACGTAATTATTTATGGTGCTTTATACCAAGTGATTGTTTAACCTGATTAGTAGTGGATTACAATGAAAGAATAATTCAAATGAAAACTTATTAATATGGGATCCTCGGATAAATTCAGGGAGGTATGTACTATTCGTTTCTTCACAAAAGATTAATTACTGAACTAATCCAATATTATGGTTGATTTAGAATTTTAACAAAAGATATAAATATAGAAAATATATT